ACGAGCTGTGGAGTTCACCTTCTCAATGGACGCTTCCTATTTGCATCGTCGAGAACCCAGAGAGTTATTTCCCTGTCTTCCTGCGAATCCGAATTGTACAGCATCGTGTCGACCATGAGCGATGCAATATTCATCAGGCGCTGCTTGGAGTTTGTGTTGGGAGTTGAAATCTCTCAGGTTCACTTTACAGATAGCAGTAGTGCACGACAGCTTTGCAATCGTCAGGGAGTGGGGAAGGTGAGACATTTGTCTGGAAAGCTACTTTGGGTCCAAACTCAGGTGCAAGATGGCTCAGTGGAGATGGTTCAGATGCCAACTGCCTACAACGTTGGCGATATAGGCACCAAAAGCCTGGGCAGAAAGAGACTTTTCGCTTTGATGCATGAGCTTGGTATGGTTTCTGCAGAGACTGGTCAACCAATTGGCCAGGAGGAGCTTGAAGCACAACGTGAAAGCCATAGCAATTCACGTGATGTCACAAAACTGGCAAAGACGATTTTCAGGCTAGCAACAGTTTTGGGCCTTGGGCCAACTGGTTCACATGCACAAGGCCAATGTGAGAACCACAATGTCAATAGCAATGACAATGAAACATTGTGGATTTGGCTTTCAATCTTTTTGCTGGCAGTGGCATGGATTGGTTTTGCGTTGGCTTGTTACAAGCTTTGGTCGAAGATGGATCAAAGGATGCAGCACAATGAGCTTCAGCAAGCACAAACCGATACCTTTATGGGACATCAACGAGATCTGATCGATGGACATCGTGCCAACCATCTTGATCTTCGAACGCAGTACAGTAACTTTGTGAGTCAAACCAACCAAGGACTTGCAACGTTGGAAGAGTACATGGACTGCATACATGATGGATTGGTACACCATGGTGGGTTTGTGAGATACAGTGAACTCACCAGGCAGGAGAGATCAGACATGTTTGCCCAGGAAAGGTCGAACCAACTCTTGTTTCAAGCGCGTCAGGCTGCACCAGATACAACAGACGATTCTGGTCTTGGAGCTTACGCAGCAGAGGCATCAGGCTCAGCAATACCTCTGACTGCGTTGGGAGACCACCAAATGGAACATGGAGAAGAAGAAGAACCTACATCAGATGCTGAAATCCTGGACGATGACACCAATAGCCGAGAGGGAGAATTGACCAGGATGATTAAGCATCTCAGAGATCAGGTGAATGAAGCCTTGGCCTTCGAGCACTACGAGGATGCCACGGACATCCAAACAACTCTTACAGCTGTGCTCGAGGCAGCCAATTTCAGTCCGAACCTCACTCTGGACATTGCAAGAAGGGTCACTGGAACTTACCAAAGGCTTTACAGACGAGCCAGAAATCGAGGTGACCATGCTTTGTCAGGAGTCTACCAAGCGTTTGCAGAAGATCTACACAGGTTTCTGTAAGCAATGGACCAAATGGCACAGTTCACAGATTTTCATCAAGTGAAATTTCATGTGAAGCCAAACTTTTTCAGATGATTGGTTGATGAAAAGAATCAGCCAGTGGTTTGACGTTTGGTTTGGAGGGTGCCGGGCAACCCTATAATCCCGAGGGGTACCAGGTAACCCTTAATCCTGGGGAGATGTGACAAGGCCACAAGGCCATGGGGATACCAGGCAATCCCGAAACCTGGTGGAAATCTAATGAGATTTTTGAGAGTTAAGCAACAGTCTGATGGACGAGAGTGTGAGTGAAAACGCTCAGCAGAGCTAAAGAGCTCATCAGAGCGAGGAGGAGTGCGAAACAATTCTGAATGCACTCACACCTTCAGTTTGCATCAGTTTGCATGGCAGTTGCAGCAAGGATGACACGCACAAATCTCATTCAGGACATTCCCATTTTCACCATCGTACATGGAAAATCCATGTGAATCACAAGGCCCTTTAAGGCTCAGAGAAAAGGTGAGCGCTGTGCACCGTTTCCTTCACAATTCCCTAAACCCTAAATACCCTTGTTGATCTTCCCAATTGAATGTAAAGTCTAACGTTTGATATCCCCAAGTGTACAGCATAGAAGGGGTGTGAGCGACACGGGGTGTTTGCGCGAAACCTCATCAAGGCTTCAATAACTGGGGATAATTTGTTGGTGATTCAGTTGTTTTGATTCATGTGTTTTGCTGGTCAAACATGCGTTGAACGTGCACTTGGAACGATCAAACAAATGTTTTACAGGACGGTGAAGAAAACGTCATTGTGTTTTTGGCTTGAAGGTGCATTTTCAAAATTTGGATCAATCAAACTCACAGCTAATCACTAGCTTAATCGGGCTGGTATGTGTTGAACAGTTGAACAGTCATTTTTTGGTAGCAATTGGCCATTTGTTTCTTGCAGAAATACATAATTGCATGACAAGCACATTGGCCGGTTTTTTGATCACCGACAGAATGCAAACAAAGCCATGCCAATGCCACTCACTCCGGTTTCACACTCGCCGCAACAAGTGGGTTTTGATTTGTTGTTTCATCGGACTGGTCACCGTGTCGGCTTTTGCGGCCTGGTATCGAAATTCATTTTCTCCAAGGCAAATTTCGCCTACAATTGGGACTATTAACGTGCAAAAACCACACGACTACAACACCATTGTGTTTTTTCAGTTCAGATTTCAAATTTGCAACGGTTTGACAAATCAGAAACTTCAAATACTTGATGGGGTGTTGGTGGCCCTTTTCTTGGGGGCACAAATCGTTTTGCCAAAAATGATTGTATTGAACGGTGCACAGTTTGTGTCAATCACAGACACGAACATGCAACCTACAGATCGCATCTTCAATATGACACGTTTTGAAAACAAAGTTCAACAAATCTATTCAGATTTTTGGTGTCGCCGCCCGGAAAACCGAGCTTTCAAAGTTTGGTGTTCTGACAACCCTCCACCCGCCATTCTGTACGATACAAGCGTTGACGTCAAAAATGTCAATGTCGAGAACCTCAAATTGAAAGCTGATGAATGGGGGCAAAATGCACTTACGGACATTGGAGATGCGGTTTTCATGCGAATATTTGAAGACAAACGCTTTGCCAAGAACAAATCAATTTTGCGGATAACAGAACCTTGTGAATTTTGGTTCAATGTCAAAGTTAAAGAGGGCACCGATTTTTGGGATGAATTCTGGAAGATAGAAGGTGCGTTGGAGTTTAATGATCAGATTGTTGAACTCGGCGAAAATGCCAAACGAATGTTTCTGCACCAATTTGGTGGTGTTGCACATGCAAAGGCTAAGCAATTCGGATACAAAATTGACGACCAAAACATTCAGCATGGTGGGTTTCATGTTGTTCACCTTCGGGCAGAAAAAGATTGGCAGAATCATTGCGAGCGGTGGTTTTCCTGGATTGACCGCAGGGACAATTGCATGAACAATACTTGGCATATCGGGAATGTGTTGCTGTCGGAGGGAATTTCTCCCGCTCTTCCAGTGTACTTGGCAACAGGCCTTTCGGAGACGGATGTTCAAGACCTTCGTAACATCCCTTCCATGCAAAATTTTTTCCACGTCTACACGGTGGTGACCAAAGGCATGCTCGGATTGACAAAAGATGTTGGGGAGGAACGGGAGTACTGGGCTGCCATAGATTTCATTTTGAGTCGGGATGCAGAATGGTTTGTGGGGAACAGCATCTCAACATTTTCAGCTTTGATGATGGAGTTCAGGGCCCGGCGGAAGATGCTGATGTTGCCTTACAATGCAGGAAAAATGGCTTTGGAAGAAATCGATTGCATTCGGCCCCAAAAACTGACCCTTATTCCTCCAGTAAGGCCAATGATCAAGTGGCTGTTCATCCTACCACAAAATGTTGTTCAGCATGACCTTATTTACAATATCACAATGGCAGCCGTGAAAAGTGCCCTTGCGAAAACACAAATCGTGCCAGTTTGTGTGACAGCAGCTGATCCATATTCGACAGTTGTTGTCCGTTTGGTATCCATGGGTGTACGGATTGTCCATCATACACCCAAATGGATGCAAGAAGTCCAAAAAATGGTGGAGAAATGGAATGACATCGGGGCGCGCTCGTTCTTCCAATACTTTCGCCCTCTACAAGTGGAGGAGGTGATAGCTCGATGGCTACGCATTGACCTGCCAATGTTGGGCATCCTGGATGATTTTGTACTTTACACTGATGTTAACGTGAGATCTCACGTGCTCTTCACCAATGATGTGAACTGGATGGACTTGCTTGGGGAGAACCACCGGAACCTTGCTCGCTCCATGGAACGAAAAATGTTTCCTGGACCATTTTTCAACAACTATGCCTCTCCTGGCAAATTTGGGGTGCCAAGGTTCTTTGCAGTTCCTGACAACGACAGAGCACATTCTGGTGTCATGTTGATGAATTTGAAAGAGCTGAGGCAATCGTACAATGACTTCCTTGCGTTTGTGGTAAACGTGGAACAGCTTTTGAAGATTGACGGGGTTGACCCATGTTCTTACTTCGAATTTTATGAAGGAACCTCATTGCCTGCACGGATGAGTTGGAAACCGCACCACCCAGAACGCAAAGATGTTTCCATTGTACACTTTTACGGGCCGAACTGTCAAGTAGACATTTTGCCGTACCTTAGAACTGGGCATGTGAAATTTGAATTGTACAAAGGAAATTTGGAGATGTGCGCTCAAGAACGACGGTGTGCGCAATTGTGCCGCCACTACGAACACTATTTGAAGTAAGGACACATCAACTTGATGCCTTTGCAGAAAATGCAGCGAAAACGGAACTTTTTTTTGTTTCTGTGAGAAATTTCTGGTTGTGCTCATAGCCACGTTTGCATGACAGTTGACATGGATTCTGCACAAGGATGACACGCACAAATTGTCAAATTTACTCCATCAGACTCATGCATGCGGTAGGCTCCAGGTGGATTGAGGTGATACAGAGAAGATTAGCATGGCCATGGATGACACACACATGGAACTCAATGCACGTTGTGCCCAAACAGTGGCTCAAGGAAAGCGTGGTGAAAACAGACGTTCAGTGCTCGGCCAGATTTTCTCATGGCAGCCGGAGCCTGGGTGATGGGACTGGGATTCGTCAGTATGACCTGGCTGTTGGTGGCAATAGCTGTGGTAGGCGCCAATCGGCCACAGTATGACATGCAGCTTGGGGAGAACAGAAATTCGAAGTTCTGGTGCAGTGTGAAGATGAACCACTGGAACGGGTGTCTATGGTTGACACCAGGCATTGCTGGATTGGCAACGTACAATTCTGGCATGGTGCACTACGATGGTTGCAGAATCCCTGGCAGCTTTGATGAGCCCAATGCGATGGTGATGCAGCAACTGAGGTTTGTGCCTAGAAGCTTCAGTGATGGCTGCAGGAACGACAACAACAGGGATCCTAGATCCAATGTGACAGTTTTGCAACGACTGATGTTCGAGACTAGGAGCTTCAGTGACGGTTGCAATGGTGGTTTCAAGTACAACGAGCAACAAGGTTGGAGTACGGAAGCTAGCGGTGGAGATTTCTTACGAGATGTTTTTCCACGGGTGAACCATTTTTCTAGCAATTCTGGCAGACTCAACAACGTTGTGTGCATGGGCAATTTGTGCAGTGAGATGGTTTTCATGTCACAGGAATTCCACGACTTCGATCAGAGCAATGCTGGCTACTTCGACATCTGGAGTGGTAACTTTGAAGGGTTTGACCATTTTCAGTACAATTCTGGCAAGTTCAACATTGGTGATTTCATTCACGGCAATTTTGGCAGTTTCAATGTGAATGACTTGATTCAGTGCAATTCTGGCAATCTCGACAGGTATAACCTCATTGAGAGCAATTCTGGCCACATCAACTTCTTTGACCATTTTCAGTGCGGTTCTGGCAGATTCCAATACAAGAGCCTTGGGACAGCGTGCAGAAGTTTGACATCAATTTTCATGCATTGGCTTGTGGTACAATGGCATGGACGTGCAGGTGTTTTTAATGCAGCGCAGTTTCATTTGGATAGCTGGACAGATGGTACAACAGTTGTTGGTGGCATTGGTCAGTTGCAGTGCATTTCAGATTGCAGTCAGTTTGGTTGCAAATGCGTGGAAGGTGACAATGGGTCTTTCTTCTCTTATAACTGGTCTGACACTATGAAGATTGAGGATGGCTATAACCAACAGTTGACAATGCTGGCAAACTTGCGTGGGTGATTTGGAGCTTCATGGACACAACTGTGAGGATCCTGGCAGGTTGTACAGTTTTGCAGGTGGTTGTGGCAGCTCTTACAGTCACAATGGCGGCTTGTTTGGCTTGGCATGCATGGCTGAGCGTGAGCCACTTGAGCAGCAGTGGCAATGTGCAATGCAGACTGGAGAGAAGGAGACATCGGCAGAGATCAATACAACTACAGAGACAGTTGCTAGCGGCAGTCTTTTTGTGTGGGATGACAAATGCCCATGCAATGGAAGGGCAAACCCAACCTGGCATGCAGGAGGCGATTTACCAGCAGGCCCAACCGGGTATTCAGGAAGCGCTGTATCAGCGCATGACCTCTATGGCTGAGGCTGCAACCAGGGCAGCTGCAGCAGCAGAAGAGGCCCTGAAACGCAGCAGCTCAGGTGGGGGTAGCTCAAACGATGGACTGCAGGCAGCATCAAGGATTTTGAAATCCCCTGACACATTTAGCGGTGACGATGTGATGCAATTTCAGCAGTGGAAACATCAGTTTACAAGTTGGCTTTGCTTTGGGGACAATCGATACAGTGACATCCTGACCATTCTGGAGAAAAAGGCAGAGGCACCTCAGTGGTCAACCTACAACGCTGACGAACGATGTCCCAGAAGCTCTATGCAGTGCTTACATCATATCTGCGTGGAAGATGTGCCCACATGGTAAGGTCAGAGGCCACTTCAAAGGATGGTTTCAAGCTTTGGCATGCATTGAACCAGGAGTTCATGCCAAGCACAGGAGTTCATGCCAACCTCTACCTCTACCTCTATACCTCTATACCTCTATACCTCTATACCTCTATACCTCTATACCTCTATACCTCTATACCTCTATACCTCTATACCTCTACCTCTATACCTCTACCTCTACCTCTATACCTCTACCTCTATACCTCTATACCTCTATACCTCTATACCTCTATACCTCTATACCTCTATACCTCTATACCTCTATACCTCTATACCTCTATACCTCTATACCTCTAGACCTCTATACCTCTATACCTCTATACCTCTATACCTCTATACCTCTATACCTCTATACCTCTATACCTCTATACCTCTATACCTCTATACCTCTATACCTCTATACCTCTATACCTCTATACCTCTATACCTCTATACCTCTATACCTCTATCCCTCTATACCTCTATACCTCTATACCTCTATACCTCTATACCTCTATACCTCTATACCTCTATACCTCTATACCTCTATACCTCTAGACCTCTAGACCTCTATACCTCTATACCTCTATACCTCTATACCTCTATACCTCTATACCTCTATACCTCTATACTTCTATACCTCTATACCTCTATACCTCTATACCTCTATACCTCTATACCTCTATACCTCTATACCTCTATACCTCTATACCTCTATACCTCTATACCTCTATACGTCTATACCTCTATACCTCTATACCTCTATACCTCTATACCTCTACCTCTATACCTCTACCTCTACCTCTACCTCTACCCCTACCTCTACCTCTATACCTCTACCTCTATACCTCTATACCTCTATACCTCTATACCTCTATACCTCTATACCTCTACCTCTATACCTCTATACCTCTATACCTCTATACCTCTAAACCTCTATACCCCTATACCTCTATACCCCTATACCTCTATACCTCTATACCTCTATACCTCTACACCTCTACACCTCTACACCTCTACACCTCTACACCTCTACACCTCTACACCTCTACACCTCTACACCTCTACACCTCTACACCTCTACACCTCTACACCTCTACACCTCTACACCTCTACACCTCTACACCTCTACACCTCTACACCTCTACACCTCTACACCTCTACCTCTACACCTCTACCTCTACCTCTATACCTCTATCTACCTCTATACCTCTATACCTCTACCTCTACCTCTACCTCTATACCTCTACCTCTACCTCTATTTCTGCGGAAGAGAGATTCCAGAGAAGAATGAAATGCAACCGTTCGAGCAAAGAGAATTCGGATGACACGCACAAATCTTGAAGCGGAACAAATCCAATGAAGAAGATCCAGATGTCCAATTTGAACATGATTTGATTTGATCGATAGATATGCCCGTAGTTTTTTGGCTGAACTCGCTAAAGCGGCAAGGGTACAGCCAGGGTAGCAAAGTCCTGGCCAGCCATAGAAAAACGTGTGATCACTGCTTTGAACCAAGATCTGCCACTTTGTGATTTTCGTGACGGTCACTAGAATTTCCAGACGTTGGTCGGCAGCGAATCAGCACACCAAGGGCAAGAAAGAAGACACGCTAGACAAATACTACCCCAAATTCAAACACCAGGTGAAGGATCCCAAAGAGAACTCCAACCAGAAAGGTCAAGATCCAGAACTAGAGATGAGGCCACAGATGATGCTGAGTTACAGAACATGCGAAGACATGAGGAAGCCAAGATCAAGCAGATCAAAAGCACCGTCGAGGATGAATTTGCACAAGCAATTCCCCAAGACACCATGAAAAGCATAAAGAAATTTTCTCTTGACCTTGCGTCCAAAGTTGAACAGCTTCAAAAGACAATGCCCGCATGAAAAAGCAACAGGAGGAAATCCAAGTCCTCGCGCAAGACAGGGTACCTAATGGAATGAAGCCAGTTCCATACCCATACGAAACGGCTTTCCTGGACAGCCTGATGATCAATCGTGGGGAATGGAAGGTGGAACTCCCTGAAAACACCAACCTCAGAGAAGCAAGGAAAATGATCCATTGCTCTTATTTGAGGATCATGCGGGAGATCGACCACGAAATAGCAAAAGCACAACGGGTTGAGTTGAGAAACTCGACAAAAAAATCAGCATTCATCGAAAAGTGTGCCACAGCATACACCGCAAAAGCATCCCTATGGAAAGACTTGGACCTTGACTTTGAAGATGAACCAAAGACCAACAACATCACCGAGGAGGTTCTACGAGTCAAGGCATCCAATGTCTATGACAAAACCATCGACCACGCTGCCACCCTCCTTCAGAAAAGGAAGGACCAAGAAAAGGCCCAGCAGATGAAGAAGGATGGACTTTTGAAGTCAATGTTGAACAAGTCTCCGGAGGATTGTTGCACATGACCATCGATGCCAGGATCGAGGAAAGAATGCCAAACAAACCGAAACCAGCCACCAAGCTCACAGCAAAAGAGCTAAAAGAAAACCAGGCAAAAAAACAATTCAACTCTGCGAAGGCCTTTGTGGCTACAACAAAACCAGAAGGCGATGTGGACATGCAAGACCCAATGTCCACAGCCCACTTCTGGTTACAGAATAGCCAGACAAACAAGCAGCAAAACAAAGAATATTACAAGACAAACAGCAAAGGAAACAACAAAGGGAACAGCAAAGGGATGACAAAAGGAAAAGGCAAAGGCAAAGGAAAGGGATCCACCACACCAGGTCAGAAAGGGAAAGCGACAACAGCCACACCAGGCGGCAAAACACATGCCAAAGGTGCCAACAAGCGACAGCATGAGCACCACAAAGGATCAAGACCTTTTTTAGACAAACGCCTACACCACGGCAAGAAAGGAAAAGGGAAAGGCGATCCCAATGGAAGAAGGTCCAGCAAGGCAGGAAAAGGGAAGGGCTGCAAAGGGCAGCCCTGGTGAGGATGTTTTTGAACTACACCATGGGCATGACGGCTCCAGAGTTGTGCGTACTGCTGAGCTGCGGAAAAGGACAGCCAGGAGTGTATTTTTACCATCCTGAACAGTTGTTAGCCACAACCTTGGAGCCGCAGCAAGTGCCATGGCCCGTTGAATTTGTCTTGCGTTTGCATCCAAAGCATGTTTTTGCCAGTCAAAAACTACCAGCTATGTCAGAACTGGGCAGGTCAATCCAACAGTGGGAGCATAAGATGAGATGGCGGCTTTTCCATTCACAGCAAGGTCTGGGGCAAAATCACCAGAGCACAAGGGGTTGGCAGAAGTTACGTGATCGGTTTGCCACACCTCTGTGCCCTCACCGATTTTGTGACCAATGGGAATGGTTTTTTCATGAATTGAAGCAGGGAGTTTTCCAACAGGCTTTTGTGATGAGAAACGCAGCAAAACTTTCTGACAGGCGCCCATCCAATTTCAACAGAGTGGCGCGCTGGGGATTACAAATGCTGCGTTCGGGTCCGATCGGGGCTGTTCGTACAGACAAGGATGGAGGTTATGCTCTGGTCTGGAAACATGCCTTGACACAAGCGATCCTTGCTTCCCTCACTTTGCCCCACTATGAGGAGAGGTTTGTCCACGATCAGACCTTCAATGACATAGCGTCCGAGTACTGCGGACTTGCCAAGTACATCGGAGAACAGACCGACGATGATGAGTTGGTGAATTCACTTTTGTCCTCTCTAAAAAGAGGCTGCAAGAACTTTGTAACTAAGGTTTTGACAACAGTCAAGACCCACAAGGCTGAAGGTGAACAGTCCATGCGAATAGTGCATGCTGCGCCCAGGCATTTTGCCAAACCAGCCATGAGATGGGTGGCCATGTTGATCCAGAAGCACTTGGAACAATATAACCACATACTCAAAGACACAGACCACTTGCTACGACTTCTCAGAGAAGTACAGGTCCCTGAAGACTCGTGGCTTCTACGGTTTGACATCAAAGAGTTCTACATGTCTGGAACACACCAGGCAATCAGCGATGCGGCAAGCACAGCATTTCCTTCCCAGTTTAGGGACTCGGCGACGCTGATGGTAGACCATATCCTCAAATCCCAAATAGTGACAGATGGATTTTCTGACAAATACTTCAGGGTGAACATCGGCTCTGGAATGGGCCTTACTTGCAGTGGCGAACTAAGTGATGGTGCGTTTTGCAACCTAGCAGAAAAGGATTTTGCAACAAACCCAGAGATCCAAGCCCGATATGGCATCCTTTTTTACGCACGTTTCAAAGACGATGGGATCATCATAGCCACCTGCAACAGGCAGGACTTGGTTGACTTCACCGCGAAGTTCAAACAGAAGTCAGCACCATTCCAGCTCAAGTTCGAGGTGCACAGAGAAACGACAACCATGATGGACGTCACTCTGGAAAAAGGACAAGGATGGAGAAAAACAGGCAGACTTGACTACAAGCTGTACACAAAACCATCCAGCCAGTGGCAGCCTTTGCTGAGCTCATCTTTCCACCACCCGAGCGTCCACCTAGCATGGCCAACAGGCCAACTCTGCAGAATCCGACGGCGGTGCAGCGAACAACAAACTGCAAATAGAGAGGTGCGAAGATTCTGTGAGCAATACCACCGACATACCGGCTTGTTCGTGCAGGAGGAAACTAGAGCAAAAACCATGGAGGTGAAGCCCTCTCCAATGTTGCCTCGGCTCATCCTGCCATACCGGACAGCTTGGGACTGCAGCCGCATATCCCACATCTGCAGAAGGGTGTGGCAGAAATGCGGAATGGAGACGTTCACAGGTGAAAAAGCGGATTTGCAGATTTGTTGGCAACTGCCCAACAAGCACCTGTTACAACAGATTAGACAGAAGAACCTGCAGAATGTACATGGAGGAGAAAGGGAATGGAAGGTGGGCAAATACCTTTATTTCTGCGGAAGAGAGATCCCAGAGAAGAATGAAATGCAACCGTTCGAGCAAAGAGAATTCGGATGACACGCACAAATCTTGAAGCGGAACAAATCCAATGAAGAAGATCCAGATGTCCAATTTGAACATGATTTGATTTGATCGATAGATATGCCCGTAGTTTTTTGGCTGAACTCGCTAAAGCGGCAAGGGTACAGCCAGGGTAGCAAAGTCCTGGCCAGCCATAGAAAAACGTGTGATCACTGCTTTGAACCAAGATCTGCCACTTTGTGATTTCAGTGACGGTTGCAATGGTGGTTTCAAGTACAACAAGCAACAAGGTTGGAGTACGGAAGCTAGCGGTGGAGATTTCTTACGAGATGTTTTTCCACGGGTGAACCATTTTTCTAGCAATTCTGGCAGACTCAACAACGTTGTGTGCATGGGCAATTTGTGCAGTGAGATGGTTTTCATGTCACAGGAATTCCACGACTTCGATCAGAGCAATGCTGGCTACTTCGACATCTGGAGTGGTAACTTTGAAGGGTTTGACCATTTTCAGTACAATTCTGGCAAGTTCAACATTGGTGATTTCATTCACGGCAATTTTGGCAGTTTCAATGTGAATGACTTGATTCAGTGCAATTCTGGCAATCTCGACAGGTATAACCTCATTGAGAGCAATTCTGGCCACATCAACTTCTTTGACCATTTTCAGTGCGGTTCTGGCAGATTCCAATACAAGAGCCTTGGGACAGCGTGCAGAAGTTTGACATCAATTTTCATGCATTGGCTTGTGGTACAATGGCATGGACGTGCAAGTGTTTTTAATGCAGCGCAGTTTCATTTGGATAGCTGGACAGATGGTACAACAGTTGTTGGTGGCATTGGTCAGTTGCAGTGCATTTCAGATTGCAGTCAGTTTGGTTGCAAATGCGTGGAAGGTGACAATGGGTCTTTCTTCTCTTATAACTGGTCTGACACTATGAAGATTGAGGATGGCTATAACCAACAGTTGACAATGCTGGCAAACTTGCGTGGGTGATTTGGAGCTTCATGGACACAACTGTGAGGATCCTGGCAGGTTGTACAGTTTTGCAGGTGGTTGTGGCAGCTCTTACAGTCACAATGGCGGCTTGTTTGGCTTGGCATGCATGGCTGAGCGTGAGCCACTTGAGCAGCAGTGGCAATGTGCAATGCAGACTGGAGAGAAGGAGACATCGGCAGAGATCAATACAACTACAGAGACAGTTGCTAGCGGCAGTCTTTTTGTGTGGGATGACAAATGCCCATGCAATGGAAGGGCAAACCCAACCTGGCATGCAGGAGGCGATTTACCAGCAGGCCCAACCGGGTATTCAGGAAGCGCTGTATCAGCTCATGACCTCTATGGCTGAGGCTGCAACCAGGGCAGCTGCAGCAGCAGAAGAGGCCCTGAAACGCAGCAGCTCAGGTGGGGGTAGCTCAAACGATGGATTGCAGGCAGCATCAAGGATTTTGAAATCCCCTGACACATTTAGCGGTGACGATGTGATGCAATTTCAGCAGTGGAAACATCAGTTTACAAGTTGGCTTTGCTTTGGGGACAATCGATACAGTGACATCCTGACCATTCTGGAGAAAAAGGCAGAGGCACCTCAGTGGTCAACCTACAACGCTGACGAACGATGTCCCAGAAGCTCTATGCAGTGCTTACATCATATCTGCGTGGAAGATGTGCCCACATGGTAAGGTCAGAGGCCACTTCAAAGGATGGATTCAAGCTTTGGCATGCATTGAACCAGGAGTTCATGCCAAGCACACGTCAGAGGAGTTTGGCCTTAGCACAGGCACTTGGATCATTCCCATGTTTCAGCAAGGACAGATCAGCTTTGGAGCCAATTCTGAACTACGAGCAGCTGGTTTTTGAATATGAACAAGCAAGTGGGAGCACCTACCCAAAGGAGCTCATGGCAGCAACCCTCATCAAGTGTTGCCAACCACGTTTGCGGGAACAGATCCAACTTTCCATTACATTACCGATACAACAACCTATGCAGATATCAGAGAGAAGATTACTTCTTATGAAAAGGTTTCAAAAGCTTGGACAAGTGATCAAGTGTTGAAACATGTGAATGATGCATCCAACTATGGTGCCAACTCTGGTGATGGACCTACGCCAATGGAGGTCGACAGAGTGGAGAAGGGCAAAGGCAAGAACAAGAACAAAGGCAAAGGCCGTGGCTCTTCTTCTGGCGGTGAATGGGTGAATGCATGGATGTATGGACGTGGACGAGGTCGAGGACGCACCAACAAGGGCAAAGGAAAAGGGAAGTCAAAAGGCAAGAACAAAGGAAAGAAGGGCAATCAAAAGGGAGGAAGCTCAAAAGGAAAGAAAACTGGTGGCCGTGGAAAGGTTGCTTATGGACAGTGTTCCAACTGTTATGAGTATGGACATTGGAGCCGAGAATGTCCCAACATGGTTAATCAAGTTGGGAAACAGGAGCCTGTGGCACCCAATCAGGCGACATCTTCAACAGCTCCAGTGGCAAAAGCTTCCAACACTGCTACAGTTCGAAGGATTTTTCAATTTGGAAGTCCTGCTCCTTCCTCAAGCCCGTCTTCACCAACTTCTCCAGTTTCCTTCAGTGGCTCTCAGGTGCGCATGGTTCTTTTCCACGATGCTGCATGTGAATGGACAGAGGTGACCAACGATGATGCTGATCAAGAATGGGTAATTTTGGACAGTGGATCAGATGTTAGCCTTCTTCTTGCAAGGTATCAAGCTGACGACAACTCTGGTGAAATGTTGGGATCCTTACAAAACTGCCAAGGTGGATCTCTTCAAACGACTGGAACAAAGAGAGCTGAGTTGATTGCAGTTACAACAGAGGGCGAAGAAGTCTTGTTGCAGCATGATTTCATTGTTGGAAATGTGACCTCATGTCTGGTTTCATTGGGTCAGTTGTACCAGGGTGGATGGTCAATACACAAGAACGAGGTGGACAACAGCCTGAGTTTGCGTTCTCCTGGAGATGAGATCCAGATACCAGTTGAGTTTCGAAATCGCTCTTTTGCTATCAGAGCCCACGTGAGGCAGGTGTC